GGCAAAAGCCTCAACCCCAGAGGAACACATCAGCCCTGGCCCTAGCACAGGAAACACACGGTTTAACACTGCCAACCTGATCTGTGGCCTCAACAGCCCCTGCCAGCCACCCGGCGCTCCGGAAAAGCAGATAAAATGGACGAAACGCAGCATTTTCCTCCTGTCGATGCTGCTGCTGGCCCCTCCACAAGCTCTCTGAGGGCTGGTGCTGGGCCCAGCTGTCCCTCGTTACCCGCCCAGCCCCACAGCTGCCACCCCTCAGGACCAGCTCCCAGCACCCAGATTGTTCCAGAAAACTTCCTTCCAGCCTTAGCAATCAGCTAATGCACCAGCCTCATACACTGTCACACATGTGGCTGTGCTTTGACATCAGTAGTATTTTTATGTCACACAAGCTCCCTTTTTGTTGTGGCCAGGACAAGCTGCTGCTTCATAACGAGCATTAACATCAGTGGTCTGGTTTGTCATCCATGTTAGATTGGGGCAGGGGGACACAGGGTAGATGCCCCTGGCCTTCCTCCTATATCTTGGACTTTGTTATGATGTCCATATGCAGTACTTTCTGGAAACATCCATTGCCCTGACCGGACTTAGGAGCTGGTTGCTCAACAGACAACAGAGTACTGCAAAAAAGTTGCCCAGGAGCAGGATAAAGGATATTGCTCTGGAACCACAAGCATCTGCTGGTATCTGCTAGTTATGCCCCAGCAGAAAATAAAGAACCCGAAGATGGGCCAGGTGTCACTCTGTCCCACATGTCCTTTGTTAGTAACCTGCACACAGCTATTGCTTAGGGTCAGGGTTGGCTGGAGGCTCACCGTGACACTGCTGGTGCAGCGTCTGGTCCTTTTGCACAATGTGTCTTCAGCTGTGTTGAATTGGAGCTCTTCATGCTCATCTTTGGGCTGGGGCTGGCCAGAAATCCACATACAGCATTTTTGCAACAGCTGTTTCGAGAATCAAGATTACCACAAAAAAAGGGAGGGAGGGGAGCACACAGTGGCCATTTCACCCCTGCATACAACCACCACTCATCATGCAGAACAGCAGCAGTTCTGAGAGCATGTCTTCACAGCACATTCTCCATTCAAAGGGGGAAAAAAAAAGCCAGTTTTTAAGAACTAGGGCAAAGGCCAGTAAATTACCATAAAGTTATTTATACAAGGGATATCAGAGGGCCAGCTCTGTGAATTGAGAGCTTATATAAGCTTCTGTAAGCTGAAAGAAAACATGTTTTGCCCCCAAATTTGATTATCAGCTGGAGGCAGCACCACTTCATTGATGAGATTTCCAAGGAGAACTTTGCAGAACTAGGAAGGAGCAAAAGCGAGGATTAACATGCCTTTCTGCTCTACTTTCTGTCTGGCACCAAAAGAAATGCATTTGTCTGACCCATACTACATTTATACACCCACATCTTATGGCTTGTTCTATCTGTCTATGACTTCATCAGCAAAACGTGTTTAGAGTTTGCCTGATATTAAGTGGCCAGACAGAATGCATTAGTCTAGAAATGGATTATTAAATTCCACTATCAAACAATAAATAGAGTGGAATGCAAGTGCTTTAATCATATAATGCTTCACATGTACTTTACTGTTAAAACCCCATACAGTGGGGTTTCAGTCCTATTTTGATTTCTTCCTTGCCTAACTCTTTACTTTCTTCTGCCAGGCTTTGTTCTAGCCCAGTGTGTAGTACAGCTAGTTACTGAGTTGCCTACATGTTCTTTGGGAACTGCCCCTGCTCAAGGTGGGCCAAGTCACCAGACAGGGATCCTAAACCCAGGGAATTCAAACCACTCACGCAGTCAAAGGATCACTAATCAACTCCATTTCTTCTAGGTGGAAAAGCACATGCTTCCAACCTGATGGGAAGACTCTTCCCGTTCAAAATGCAAAGAAAGATTCAGTAGAATGCAGAAAACTGCTGCCATTAAAGTTATGGGATGCAAAACTGTGACAGCCCCACCATCTTACCTGCCAACTCAACAGCAATACTAGAAGGATTATCTTCAATTCATCTCCAGTCCAATCAACCACTTGTTTTTAAAATCACATTGTTGCTGCCTTCCAGCACAGCCCCTGCTGAATTTGTCCCAATACAGATTCCCGCTGTTCCTACATGGGATAACATCAGTAACTTGGAGAAACCAAGCATTTTCTAGCCACAAAGGACCAGAAGATAGTTTTTTTCTTTCTAAGAATTAAAAGAGAGCATCTGTGGGGATTTTTTTTATTTGGTTGTTGGTGGTTTTTTTGTCTTCTGATCAGAGCTATCAGACAACATATGCTGTTCTGAGTTAGAACCACTTCAACCCCAGAAACCTATTTGTGGCTCTTACTTCAGCAGAATTATTTTCTTCTCAAAGAAATCTTAAGCTTTTGATAAGGAGTTAAGAAGTCACATCAGTTTTTGGGACGGTTTTCATTTTCTTCATCTCCTCACTTACTCTAATCAGGATTAAACTGGATTAACAGAATTGGCACACTTTGGGCCTGCTTCAGACTGCATTCAGTTTAAGTTTTAAGCTTCCATTCACTCTACGAGGATTTTTCCAAAATGCACCTGCTGGCAAAGCACTAAATAATTCTTGGCAACCAATCGCATCAAAAATTATTTAATCCTCCACACTTTCTCCAAAAGTATATGCAAAAATAAAAAATGCAGAAAATTCAAACCAGGTTTAAGGGTTGGTTGTTTTTTGGTTTTGTTTTTAAGTCCCAGTCACACTGAAGCTGAGAAAGTTTGCATTTAAACTAGATAAAGCAATGCCCTCTAGTGTTCTGCAGAGAAATCTGGCACAAGGCTGCCCAAAGTCTTAAAAAATTCAAGCTTAGGATTGCTGTACCATCTCAAGTGACAGCCAAAGTTTTGAAAGCTTACAGCTCACATGCAGCATCCTTAGAATGTTCTGCACACAAGTGTGGCCTGCAGAACGATATGGGATCCTTTCCTTTCTTTCCCTCCATTGCTGATGTTTGCATCAGAATTTCATGTCAAAAGATGTAGGTATTTTCTGGGCATACACTGATGGCTTGAGGAACATCTGGGAACAAGAGGGGCTTTTGAGAATCAGGCAGAAGCCTGATCCTTTCCTTCCCAGAGTTCACAAAATAAATGAAATCCACCTCCTCTCTCATCACCTACTGTCTTCCCACCTGTGGCACGTGACAAGTCATAATACCCACCCTGCACCTTCCTCAAGTACACAAAGCATTTGGTACCCTGTGTTAATGACTCACCACACAAGCAGGATGATGCCTTCAGTTTGAACAGCTCTCTTACAGAGCTCCAAAGCTTAGTGGATTTCCTCACAGCAGCAGCATCCTCAAGATACGGATAAACTGCAAACAGAACTATCCAAACTCAAGAAAGATTTAAATAAAGGAGAGCATTCTCATAGTTCCAAAAAAACCTGCAGAGCTATCAAAATATTTACATCCTGTACACATTACAAAATTCAACTTTGCATCGCACAAAGGACTCTAAGAGTTTTTATAACCGGAGGTCTAAAAAGCAAAACGCAAAGTCCTTGATGAAGGCTGCTCTTAAACGGGCAGCTAGGAGTCCTTAAATTTTACCATCCATTGCTCTTGAAAGACAACTGCTGGGCTCTCACCATCTAGACAGAATAGAAACTTGAATGTCTTTGATAAAACTTTTAATCACATCAAATACTTTTAAAATAATTAACAACAAAAAACCCAAGTTGACTACTGTGCTTTTGTTACTTTATGTACCATTGACCTGCAGCAGAGAGAAACCACAGATCAAAAGCTGCAATAGAGGGGGGGGAAGGGCGGGGGGG